TCTCTCTCTCTCTCTCACTCACTCTCTCTCTCTATCGCTCTCCCCGTCTCTCCCCTCCCCTCCTCTCTCTCTCGCTGTCTATTTCACTCCCCTTCCCTCTCCCTCTCTTTCTGCGCACACACACCTGTAGACAGACCAGGTCCAGCACCGCAGTAAGTGTATGGGCAGTGCCTTCCACCTCAACATGCACCCGCGCGCCCTCTTCGACCTCAACCCATACCACACCGACCGACCACTGGCGCCCCACCGCGACCGCCCCGAGTCGAAGCGTCACGTGACCCCCTTCCGACCCAGCAACCCGCCAAAGAAGGTAAGGGGAAGGGCGACAGTGAGAGCAATGACTTCAGTAGGTGAGAGAACGCGCGAAGCCGTACGTATATGAACCCACCATGGAGTGGTGGGTCTACCCGTGTCTTTCGCTTCCGCCACATGGTAGAGCTACACATATGTTACCAGCTACTTGTATGTGGACACAGGGCCGTAGCTACCATTAGACAATAGGAGGCAAATGCGTCCTACAAAATTTCTCCAAATAAAAATTAAGTGGGCCCCATACCCCACGCCCTATTGGCTCGCTTCGCTCTTTGTTCTTTAACTCACAACATTTGCCTCCTACAAAATTTACCTCTGGCTACGGCCCTGTGTGGACAATGCATAGGTATATGTATCTTACAACGTAAGACCTTATACGGTCTCACAAGACGTTATACTATTTTATAAAAGATTTTATACGTCCTCATGCCATACGATTATGTAGCATATTACGATATAAATATAATCTCTTATACCTCCATACGATCTCGGAAGACCCTATACTGTCTTATCTGACGCTATACTATCTCATATGACCTTATACTATCTCACATGACCCCATACGATCTCATAAAACCCTATACTATCTCACAAGACACTATACTATCTCATAAGATCTTATGCTATCTCATATGACCCCATACGATTCCACAAGATCTTATACTATCTCATAAGACCTCATAAGACCTCATACTATCTCATAAGACCTTATACTATCTCATAAGACCTTATACTATCTCATAAGACCTCATACTATCTC